GACCTGAATAATTTTCAGCATGACAAATCTAAATGCTTAACATGTTTCTATCAAATAAAGATTTTCTTCTACTTTAATGAGACTCATCATGCCAACTTTCTTGGCAGGTGGGCGAAGTGCTCAGGCCCCTGTAATGACGTATTCCAATGAAGTGGATGGTGTGTCTGAGATGTCCTTGCCTGTTTTTGGTCTCGCATCCTACAAGTTCCAGGGGTCCTTGTGGACATCCAATGGTGAATGTGACCATCAGTTGTCAAACTCACTATTCCAGGCTGCTGATAAATGGTTGAGATTGCTTCAGGTCAACCATCCAGATTTCCTATTTTTCTGCCGCAGTTGATACCGAGATATGACTGTTACCACACTACTCCAGCTATTATACAAGTGAAGCCCAGTTTTATATTGGTACATGCACACACCTGGCATGTGAGTTAATTTCTGGAGACCATCATGATAAGTGGATTTGGGTGGTCATATTCTAGTAGGTTTCCTGTTATCTTTAATAATTTATGAAAAGGGGGGTGAAAAAAAATGCTGAGAATGCTTTAGAATGGAAGGGTTGCAATTGCAATAAGGTTCAAGCATAGTGAATAGAAAAAAAAAATATAGAGTTAGGATATGCTGCTGAAGGTCTGATGAGTGAAACCAGGGTAAAGAGGTGGTTTGGCTTTGCTGTCAGTGTAACTAAGATACGTCTTGCTTCTTTTCAATGTTTTATATAATGGGTATGTCATGATAAACCAGGCACTTTTTTTTGTCCTGATTATCCGTGTTTAGGATGTAGTGTTTTATTCAACATCTGGAAGGGGATGTTTGTAGGTTGTGTTTTCAAGTTTGAGCCTGCCTCACTTATGTAATCTAACACTTTACTGTTGTGATGTCCATGAGGAGTAATGTACTGAAATGGTATTGTTATCTGTACATTATGATTAGCTGAAACGTTGGTCCCTGATATTTTTTTCCCCACTTGTATTCTTGTGTATCGCCCACTAGCCCTGCCATTTTAACACCAACTGCTGTGGCATGGCCATATTTTAGTGCCTCTAATTCAATCCAGATTGTGCTTACAGATTCTACAATACGTCTCTTTTCCATGGATTCTGCCATGGTCTACAATCATTGAGTAGCCTACTTTTTCTATAACTAGAAGTCCCATCTTCAACTTGTGTAATAACAGCTCTTGCTTTGGTGGGAAGAGAACCGACCAGGGCCTGAAAGACCTGCCTGTTTCTTCTTCTTCAGATTTGTTGGAATACAGTTATATATATATATATATATATATATATATATTGTTATTATTATTCTTGTTTTCTTTGTGTATTCCAGGCGGGGTCTTGGGTAGAGAAACCAGTTTCATTCATTCGAAGCAGTTTATGGTAGTTATTACCCATCATTCATGGGATGTAATGTGTTTCAAAGTCTTTCCAGTGTCCTCGTGTAAGAAAAAAGGTTCGTTTGGTAATATAAAACCCAGATTTTTAACTTATTTAAAGAATGATTTCAGTGCAATGAAGATACTCATTAATCTTTTTGTGCCTTTAAGAGATTCAAGATATTTAATTTTTCTTGATCATTGATTTTGGGATTTCTTAATATACTTGGGTCATGTTTGCTATGATGCAATGTAATGAATTTGTACAATCAAATCTTTAATTCACTAGTGTAGAAGTTTTCGGAATTTAATAGTTGCCTTGACAGTGTTTCCCTCCAATTTTTTAAAAATTATTTTAGTTCACATTTTTTTTTTTCACAAACTGGTGTGTGTTTGTATTTTTTTTTATATATATCCTTATGTTTTATAAAAATTACAGTTTATTTTTAGTGGTCTGAACTGAAATCTGAAAAAGAGGAACTGAATATGAAAAAAGTAAGTGAAACTTGAGAGATGGGTTTTTCACTATAGTACATTCATAGTGAAATGGGTACTGGGGCCATGGTAAAATTATCTTTTTACTTTTTATTTTTTTTACCATTATCTTTTTACTTTTTATTTTTTAAAGTTTTATTAAAGAGTTAAGATGATCTTTGCACATAATTAATTTGTTATTCTTAATTGGTTTGGGGATTTTTTTTTAATAACATTGCAATCACTATATTTTTTTTGAAGAATAAACAATTAAAATTTTTAATCTAGGGCTGTATGTTAATTTTATTTTTTTCATGAATGGTTGAGTTGCGCACATATATTTACTATGCAAATTTATTATTCTTGGTTTAAGGGGTTTGATTGTAATTTTTAGTGATTTTTTTTATTATTGTTAATTAGTTCTAGATGCATTTTTATATATAATTTTATGAACAGTTAGTTAAATTACTCAATTATTCTTGTCACTCAAATTTTTTTAGTCGGGCTTAAGGGCTTGGTTATAATTTTACAGGGACGCTTTTTGTTATTGTTATTTAATCATAGATGTATTTTCAGTTTTATGTTCATATAAAAAAAAAAATAGCACACGCCAGGCTCATGCAGCTAACGACAGCTATTGAAATCAAGCTTCTACAATATCCCGACAAGCCAACAGCGCTCCAGCTATTGACGAGACACGCTAGTCAACAGAAGCCAGTAAAAGGTCCCATTCCGATCCATACATTCTTACATACCCTCACACCGAAATACCCAGAATTTCAATCAAAACCCTCAACAACCCTATCTTTAGGCTATTTGCACCTTAAACCCGTGTTCTTGACCACACCAGATCAGAACCCCCCAATTAATTATAATCATAATTTAGCTCTTAATTAAACTAAAAAATATTGGTTTATATCCAAAAAAGCACAGCAGGCCCCCCCAAAACAGAAAAGTCGTAAAAAAAAGGCAAACTACCTTTAAAAAAAACGTAAAATACACTTTTGCCCTTTATAAATTTAAGTGCATCCCACTTCTATCCAATAGCTTATTATTTACCATTATTTAGAGTTTCCATTTCACCAGATGCTATTGAGCAGAAAGCAGCCCTTTCTTCCCATTTTTTATTTCATTTTCGTCTCATTTTCCCTCCCAATTCCAGAATTTTTTTTTTTTTGTAGAAGGCCAACATCTGCAGAGAGCCTCAAAAAGAAAAAAAACAAATTAGTCCCAATTGATCTTAGACATATATCACGATATCTCACAAAAACACTTAAAAATTTCATTAAAAAATCAAAGATTAAATTAAAAAGTAGGCTGTTTGTTTGTTAATGGTAATTGCAGGAATGATTTGCAAACCAAAAGGGTAACATCAGGATACATTTAAACTAAAGAAACAGAAATGAAACATGGAGGAATATTTAGGGGCAAAAATGAAATTGCACAAAAAATCAAGCGAGATATGCTTTTACTAGGTAGAGAAAAAACAGTTTGCATAACACTATAACAGAGAGACACGCACACACGGAGAGATTAGCAGGAAAAGCGACAGCAATGATGGCGGTCTCAATCTCCATTTCTGTCATCATCACCTCTCTTCACCTCGTCGCCTTCGTCCTCGCCATCGGCGCTGAAAGCCGCCGCAGCACCGTAACTATCTCTCTCTTTCTCTCGATTTTTGAGTTTTCGTTTTTATCTGTTCTGTTAAATTTATCTTGCGTGTTTTGTGTGAAGGCTAAGGTGGTGCCTGATCAGTACGATGAGAGGACTTACTGTGTTTATGATACGGACGCGTCTACCGTGTACGGATTAGCTGCGTTTGGGCTGCTACTTATTAGCCAAATAATTGTTAATGGCGTTACTAGGTGTCTCTGCTTTGGAAAAGGCCTTGTTACTGGAAGCTGCTCCACTTCTTGTGCCATCGTCTTCTTCATCTTTTCCTGGTAAAATAAATTTACCATTTTCTCCCTCCCCATCCCTTCAAATTCCCTGTCTTTATTTTCTCTGTTTATCATCATTTTTTTCAGTATTATTAATTTGAACGGTCTAGACCGGTCCTTTATATATACATGGTTGATTAATTGGGTTTTGGGTCTATTGTTCCACCGACAAATGAAGCCAAAATCTTCGAATATTTGATTTCTGTGGTTTGAACTTGTGGGTCTCCAAGCGGCAACATGTGAACTAAGCAACAAAAATAGGAAATATATTAATCTTCAAGATTTATGGATTTAAGATTATTATTTAGGAATCTTCATAATAATTGATGTGGGTAAATTTGTTATTTCTTGTGAAACAGCATACTCTTTATTTCTCTACCTGACTGTTAAAGAGCTTGGTGCTCTTGGTAGGACAATTCAGAGTTTAGGTAAAACCAACCTGAACAACATTTTTTCCAATTTATTTTCATGCCTGCTATCTTTAGCACACCTGAATGGTACATGTATGATACTGATCTCCCCCGAAACGACATACCTATTTAGCTCAATTTGCCAATCATTTCGCTTTATCATCCGTGAGAAATCAAGAATTTTAACAAAGAAATCTTCAGGTTAAGCTTTTTGGGAGCCGAGGCATGCTTATTAGCTGGATCAGCAAGGAATGCATATCATACCAAATACCGAGGATTATTTCGTCAGGGTGACTTATCATGTGCCACACTCCGCAGAGGTGTCTTTGCTGCCGGTGCAGCTCTTACATTGTTATCACTGATAGGGTCAATCCTTTACTATTGGGCTCACTCGAGAGCTGATACTGGTGGATGGGAGAAGCACCAGAATGAAGGCGTTGGAATGACCAGTGCAAGTTACCCCCAGCAGCAACAAACTGGTGAATTTGAGAAGGCTTGATTATGAATTGATTAGGTCAATGACTAAAGCTTTTGGGGCATATCATTGGAGAAAGATGGGTAGAGGAAACTGACATGGTCTCAGAGAGCTACAAGCACGCATGTATGATCTTATATCATGTCTGATGTGAAATAGCCAGTGTTTTCTGTGTGTATATTTGTTGTGCACTTCTTGACACTGCCTCCAAGAATTATAGTTATACTGGCCGCTTGCACTCCATGCGATGTCTTAGCATTATAGTTGTACTAATATCACATCCGCCTATCTCCTGCCATGGCGATAAAAAAAACTAGTTCTTACAAACTATGCTTGCTCAAAGTTTTCATTGGTGTGGTTCCTTCAAGGAGGGCGAGAGATGGCAGAAGGCCGCTCCAAGTTGTGCATCTCTGGTTTCCAATGGGCCTTCTCATGGATCTAAAAGGTATTGTGAATCCAAAGATTATAGAGTAGAGCAGAACAGCTGTAAATCCGACTGGTTCAATGTACTTGTTAGGAAACCCAACAAGGTACTTGAATTTTGTCATTTCTTGCCAGTGAGGAAGCCAGCGAAACTCATCCACTGTAGGAGATTAAAATAAGCCAACTCCTCGATAATAATTTTTTTGATTATTTTTTTTATGCAGTAGCAGTTGAATTGAAAATAAATTTTATTTAGAAATTTATTAAAATAATGTATATTTTTTTATTTTTAAAAAATTACTTTATCGAAATGATTTAAAAATATAAAAAATTAATTTTAAGTAAAAGAAATTAAATTTTGCTTAATCCTATTTGAGACTCCATACCAAACAGGTTAACCGATAATGCTTAACCGATTTAATGTGAAATAAATGGTTTCTAAGCTTTCATTTTCAAGTCGAAAAGGAGAATACCGCTTCTACTTTCAATAGGAGTCAACTGAATCAACGAAAAATCACTTCACATGGAAACCAACTTTGACAGAGATCCTCAATGGCAGAAACCCAGTTGCAGGGATAAAATTAAAAACCAGTCCCAACATGGGTTTTCCATCGGTGTCTGTCCAAAAACTAAAGTTGAGAATTAGCGTCATTTTAAACGATGTTCTTCAAGTAGTAGAGATGAGTTCAGCTAGAGAATGGATTATACTCGTCGAATTACATAATCACCGGTAAACCGGTAAACAAAAGAATAATATGTATTGCAGAGAGGGAAAGTACAGAGGAAAGGAGATGAAAGCGGAGCGACAGACGTCTAACAACAAATAATAGAAAAAAAAATTAATTGAGTAATTAATTGCTACAAAAAAAAAACCTAAAATAATTTTTAACAAACTCCCAAACATTACCTAATTTATCTTCATTGCTCAACAATGAGAAAAATGCACTGCAAATTAGTGTGCCGGCCCGGGATTACACAGATTTTTTTTTTTTTGGCTTGATATTCAAATTTTTTTTTTCCCAATAAAAACTTGAATATTTTTACAATCAACTGAGATCTTTTAAAAAGAAATTTTATACATGACATAATTTTTTGTTATCTTGGGTTTTTTTATCCTTTATGAAATTACCCCCCCATTCTTATTATAAGTTATATTTTATAAAAACATTCAATAATGATGAATATGAGTTATGTATATTATATATTTTATAGGCTATTTTTTTATTTAATGTCAAATATTTATATAAAGTGTCAGATTCATGTATATCTTGATGATTAATTATAGATAGTTTCATGGCTAACAATAGATGATGTAAGATATTATTTATAATAATAAGTGGTCATGTTTTCGAGAACCATTAAAATCAAAACAGACAACATTAACAATTAAATTCTTCAAAATTCAATCACGAACCACAATTAAGTGAGCATATGTGACAATCTTTAAAAGATTAAGACACAGAAGATAACACAAAATTTCATAGCCCAAATAATTGAACTTGAATTACTTCATTTCATCCATTTATGTTTAGTATCTTCATCCTAGCATACTCAAAAGGTCGAATTATATCGATATTATGTATTTGTGTTGGAGTACAAAAGCGAATGGCTTAATTGAACGTGAATTCCATTTGTGTTTAAATTCTCACTTGATGCAGTAATAATAAATTACCTTAAATAATTAGCATAATCCGTGGAGAAATTTAATTTGATGGATCTCATCTTTACAGTTCAATCTCCATAATTGCTCCCCCCATGATCAAAAGCGATATTAAACTCTAAAATCTCCATCGACATTAATTCTAATTAATTCACTTGTCCGATCACTGCCGAGGACGAAGATCTTCTTCGTGCGTGGATCGATGAACTGATTGAATTAATTATTGAACTTTTCATGCGCGAAGGGCATTTACTTTCCTGCATGCCAAAGCCATGGTACTTTATTCAATCTCATCAACTGTTTCTATTCTAAGATTAAATTTAATAGAATTAACCACGGCTTTTTTATAGAATGATGATTGCAACACCTGATTTGCTGCATTGCTGGGATATTTTCTTTTTGGTGAATTAGATTAAGGTAGTAGCATCCAACACAATCATGAGAAGTGACATGCATGCCGTCCTTGGACGGGGAAAGGGTAATACATGCACATATCTTCCCCTTAGTTTGTTCATGAGGTCTGAGATTCATTTCTCTAATGCTGTGTATTTGGTTCCCTTTGTAGTTGCTGACATATTGTCGTGGAAGAACAAGACATTATCAGGAGGGATCCTGGGGGGTGTTACTGTTCTATGGGTTCTCTTTGAACTTACAGAGTACTCTTTAGCAACCTTCTTCTGTCACATTCTCATGCTTTTGATGATCACCCTCTTCACATGGTCCAAGAGTGCAGGACTCATCAAAAGGTAACAAGTTATTGTTAGCATATTCTAATGTAAAGTGCCTGTTTAAGAACCATTTATTTTTGTGATATATAATCCTATCTTGCCTCCTATATTTGTAGTGGAAAGTCAATCTTTTTGTTTTACTTTTGGTCAATTTCCCTTACAAATTAATTATAATTGACAAGATATGACTCTAACCATGCCCATTGATTATAACAATTATAATAAAATTTCAATTTCCACTTTTTATTAATATTGATATCTGAATTAATTTATATGTATCTTGATTAATTTTATAAATCTTAAAATTAATAACTCTGAAATTTATAATTTTAAATTTGCAATCTTTAATATATTTTCTCGAGAGAAATTGACAAAACTATAACATAGGGGAAACTAACTACAAATAGAGGTCCTAGCAATGTTGTACTTCTGAAATTCCATATGTTACTGTTTTCTTCATCAATTCAGGAATCCTCCTACTTCTAACGAAATAAGGTTGCCAGAATCAGCATTCAGATTCTTCTTTGATCAAATTAACGAGACTATACTTACATTTTACAGAACATCAACAGGCCAGAAAGGTTTAAAAACCTTTTTTGTGGTATACAAGTCTCCATCTGCTGACCATCTTAATTCTCTACATTATCTATTTGGATTATAGATTTAATTGCAAATTAATTATGCACTTGATTTTCAGACGTTAGCTGGGCTTTACATCTTGTCATTTATTGGATCCCTATTCAGCACCATGACTTTTGCATACCTTGGTACGGCCATGGAGTTTTCTTTATCGATTTTTTTGTTTGAACCTGATTGGATTTGTGTTTTCATTTATTCCTTGTAGTCTTTGCCTGCTGTGCGACAATACCAGCTTTCTATGAGCAAAATAAGATGCAGGTGCATGAGATTTTTGGGCACAGCTACAGAGAAATAAACAATTCATTGAAAGATTTCAGGTCCAAACTCGTTGACAAGATTCCTAGAGGAAAAGATGACTAGCTAAGCTTGCCAGAATTTGATAGCTCTCTAAATGATCAACGGAATGCAAAAAATCTCTCAAAACTTCTTAGCATGCATGGTTTTAACTTGATATGACCTCCTGTAGTTGACATATGATGAAACGATTCAAAATATAATAAAAGTAATCATAGCAATACTAATAATAATAATAATAATGATAATGATGATTGCGACGACGACAATAACCATGATGATGATGGAGAAATTAAAGCATCGTTGAGGTCCAATATTGCAATACACATCGCTGGCTAGCATGAGGTGGATATTTAGTCCTTCAGCCCGAAGAAAACTAATATACACCAGGGCATGATCTGGACAGTTATGATTTTAGCAAAAATATAAAACAACAGTAAAGATCCTATACCTTACATCCGATCACTTTATAGCAGCTACCTTTCAACCATTTAGCATGTTCTTTTCGCAGTATTTTCTTAAGATTTTGCTATATGAAAGATAGAGAGAAATACCGGAATCCGGGAACATATAGTCAAAATTACGGATAAAGAATCAGTAACCTTGTGACAGTTGGGTATCAATCCCTGCAGTGCTTTCATCTCTCTATTTATCCGGTCCCTACGTCTCTGCTCAGTATCAAATATTGCAAATATTTGATATGCATTTCAAATAGTCTTACACCATCTCACTGTCTCAGACATGATATGCATTTCAGCCGAGCGTGTCCTTCCATGCCTCTGATTAAGTTTCTTTGTCTCTGTCTCTCCATAAAGCTCATCAATCTCCTGAAACCAGACAAATTGATATGCACTTTTTAATTTCTAATAAAAAGAATAAAGAAATAGGAACATCAACACTGTAAGACTCTATCTACAGTTGTTATAAGTAATGTAGATCCCAAAAATCAAATAGAGGGATCATGTTTTTCTTTTCCTAGGCCCGTAGAAAATAACTTGCTCTTCAATACCAAGACACGGAGCATGCCGAAGACCAGGGGTGCAACGAGATGGGACTCTTGAAATTTAATAATTAATTATTTCATATACGCTTCGCTATTTTCATATATACAGTGGCTCTTTAGAAACAAAACTTATTTTTATAGTTTATAATCTACAACTTTCATTTTATTTTTTTTAGTTGGTGCATATGTGAATGTTGAGAGAGATAGACTCGATTACATGATCAAAGCAAATCGAAATAATCTAAGAAACAAGAGTATTTCGAGGGGTGATACCGAGGGCTCTGATGCTGGAAATTAAGGTTATTGTTTCATCTTTTCTTACAAGTAGTGTCAGATACATGATAAATTACTATCAAGACGCAATGGTTAATTGTTTGCTGAAGCTTGGGAAACCCTTTCTTTTTATAACATCCACATGCAATTTGAAATAGCTTGAAATCACGAGAGCCACGCAAAAAGAGAAATTACAAGCATGAAGACAAGACTGATATTATATCTTAGATTTTAGATTTTCAAGACGAAGGTTGGTGAAAACCCAAATGTTAATATATTACAATTTTTTTTCCTGATTGTCTAGTTTCCCAACTGTTTGCGAAAGTTAATGTTCTCGAATCAATATTCTCTAATTTTAATTAGATGTTCGTAATTTTATATTTCAAAAACGATGGAGGCCCCTCTCATTACCATCTCCTGGTCTAGCTTGATTCAGGATTTAAATGTTGGACTATTGAAGTTATGAATTCAGATTTTATCCACTACAGACAACTATGAATTATGCTGTCAAACACTATAGACAACTATGAATTATATATGCTGTCAAACACTACAGACAACGGGTTTGTTATTGTGTCCGTAAGAATAAGATTTAAACAAATTGTTTTCAAGAAATTAAAGAATGTCTAAAATCATAATTAAAATCTCTCAAAGATTATAAATTTGCCAATCATCTTAAAAATGTAATATCTGAAAATATATTAGGTTTAAGGAAAAAATATCCATCAGGCTTTGCAATATCTCCTGATATAATATAATTTATCATTATTTTCTTGGTGCTTAATATCCTATAATCAGTGCCACTCATCATTACAAAAACTAAGATGAGAAAAATATGGAGGGAGCTGCCCATAAAGCGAAAAAGAGCATGCTCGTGTTATTAATTACATGGAGTCGCTTTCCAAGATTGAAGAAACATCACTGCACTGCCCCATAGATTAGATAATTAGGTTAATTTTCTATGTAATCTGAATACTCTCAACTACTTTTTCATGTTCCCCATTTGTTTTTCATTTCTCACTAAAATTATCCATCTTCCCAAGGTGCAGTCCCTGGTACTAAAGAAAACCTTTACCATTCTTCCACGCTCTCTTGAGTTTTGCCTTTCACATTCACACTCCATTCTCTCTCCTCATTCTCTTCTCCACACACACATGACACAACGAGAGAGAGAGAGAGACTTCATTGCTTCTGTCAAGCTTTCTTCGTTCTCATTTGGCTTTTTGCGTACTGAAAGGTAAGCTCTTTAAAGCCCCACTTTTGCATTTTGCACCCTCCAATGGTCACTTTGTTTGTGGACATGTTCTCTTTGAGTTTGCTGGTTCTTGTTCTCTTTAACTCTTACAGTCTGGTGACTTCTTTGAATAGTGAAGGGTATGCACTATTGTCGTTTAAGCAGTCTATTAACGAAGACCCAGAAGGGTCTTTGAGTAACTGGAACTCCTCTGATGACAACCCTTGTTCATGGAATGGGGTTACATGCAGGGACCTTAATGTCATGTCTCTCAGTATTCCAAAGAAGAAACTCTATGGGTTTCTTCCTTCTGCTCTTGGGTCACTCTCTGACCTTAGACATATAAATTTGAGGAATAATAGGTTGTTCGGCCCTTTGCCTGCTGAGCTCTTTCAAGCTCAAGGACTCCAAAGTTTGGTCCTTTATGGGAATTCCCTTTCTGGGTCTTTGCCAAATCAGATTGGCAAGCTCAAGTACCTCCAAACCTTGGATTTATCCCAGAATTTCTTCAATGGATCAATACCCACGTCAATTGTTCAATGCAGGAGACATAGGGTCCTTGATCTTAGCCAAAACAATTTCACTGGTTCTTTGCCAGTTGGGTTTGGTGCCAGTTTGATTTCTCTTGAAAAACTTGATCTTTCATTTAATAAATTCAATGGTTCAATTCCTAGTGATATGGGAAATTTGTCTAGCTTACAAGGAACTGTTGACTTGTCACACAATCTCTTTACTGGTTCAATCCCAGCTAGCCTTGGAAACCTTCCTGAGAAGGTTTATATTGATCTAACATATAACAATTTGAGCGGTCCAATACCTCAAAATGGTGCTCTAATGAACAGAGGTCCTACAGCATTTATTGGAAATCCTGGTCTCTGTGGCCCTCCATTGAAAAATCCATGTCCTTCAGATACCGCCGGTGCAAGTGCACCTTCAGCAATCCCTTTTTTGCCTAATAACTTCCCCCCTCGAGATTCAGATAACAGTGGCAGAAAGAGTGAGAAAGGAAGAGGACTGAGTAAGAGTGCAGTTGTTGCGATAATTGTGAGTGATGTCATTGGGATTTGCCTCGTTGGATTGTTGTTTTCGTATTGTTTTTCTAGGGCTTGTTCACGCAGTAAGGATAAGGATGAAAATGATAATGGTTTTGACAAGGGAGGGAAGAGAAGGAAAGGGTGCTTGCGCTTTAGGAAGGATGAGTCCGAGACTCTATCTGAGGACGTGGAGCAGTATGACCTTGTGCCACTGGATGCGCAGGTGGCTTTTGATTTGGATGAGCTGCTTAAAGCGTCTGCTTTTGTTTTAGGGAAGGGTGGAATTGGGATTGCTTACAAAGTTGTGCTTGAAGATGGGTATACTTTAGCTGTGAGAAGATTGGGCGAGGGAGGCTCTCAACGATTTAAGGAATTCCAAACGGAAGTGGAAGCAATTGGCAAGCTAAGGCATCCTAATGTTGTGACTCTCAGAGCATATTACTGGTCTGTTGATGAGAAGTTGCTTATCTATGATTACATACCGAATGGAAGTCTTGACACAGCACTTCATGGTAAGTTTCAAAAACCATCTTGCCACCAGAGTAAATTTTCTGTTGCCTCATTTCCCTTGATTTTTATTTTGTTTCCTCATGTAGTATTTTTTTGTTTGTTTTATATTTTTGTTATTTGAAAGTTTTAGTTCTCTAAATGTCAATAGGGAAGCCTGGAATGGTGTCATTTACCCCATTATCATGGTCTGTTCGGTTGAAAATCATGAAGGGAATTGCGAGAGGCTTGGTTTATCTTCATGAATTCAGCACTAAAAAATATGTTCATGGAGATCTGAAGCCAAGTAATGTGCTTCTTGGACAGAACATGGAACCACACATTTCTGATTTTGGACTTGGGCGACTTGCTACTATTGCTGGAGGGTCCCCAACACGGGAATCTAATCGATCTACCTTGGAAAAACCACAAGAGAGGCAACAGAAGGGTGAGCCAAGCTCAGAAGTTGCCACAGTTTCATCTACAAACTTGGTATCTTATTACCAGGCTCCTGAAGCACTAAAAGTTCTAAAACCATCACAAAAATGGGATGTTTACTCTTGTGGAGTTATCTTACTAGAAATGATCACAGGAAGGTCGCCAGTGGTCTGTGTCGGTACCTCAGAGATGGATCTCGTTCACTGGATCCAGCTTTGCATTGAAGAGCAGAAACCACTTGTAGATGTCTTAGATCCGTACTTAGCTCCTGATGTGGATAAGGAAGAAGAAGAGATTGTTGCCGTTTTGAAGATTGCAATTGCTTGTGTTCATAGCAACCCTGAAAGGAGGCCTACGATGAGGCATGTCTCTGATGTTTTTAACAGATTGGTTACATCCTCTGCTTAAGAAATCTAACGGCATTGTCAATCCAATACTCTAGTGGTTCTCGAAAATCATTAGTTGCATTGAGTAGGGGTTTCAAAGGATTTCAAAGATGATTGTTTTTGGCCTCTTTCCGTGGAAACATGTACCTCTATCAAATTCATTGAAGCGGTGTGAAGAGTAATGATGACATCTGTGTAATTTAATGTCTTTGTTCATGTTAGGATTCTGTCCTTCGGTATTATTCCGTGGAGACTAGGTGAAATTAGGTATGCTATAAGACACAAGAGCATGCTTGCTACTGGGTTTGGTAATCGTTGGCATTGCGATTGTGGAAGCTGATGTTTATTTAAAATATTTTAATTTAAAAATACATTAAGATATATATATAATTGGAACTAAATTGTGTTTATATATCCTGAAAATACCTTGCAAAGTAAACGTTAAGAGTGTAACTATTTTTAATCTTTCTGGCTGCCATATTTCCCCCAGACAGTAGTTTGCGTTACGCGCTCATCCGATTTGTCCCTTCAACTCAAATCTCCATGGCTAATCCCTTCATGATATTAAAGATTTCAGGATAGTGTTTCCGAATTGTCCTATGTTAAAACAATGAAGCAAGTAGAGGTAGAAGGGTTCACTAGTTACACAAACCATGTGGCACGAATATTGGAAGTGGAGCCACTACTAGTCGAAGTATCCAATTACTTGAGAAAAGCTCTTAGCATTGGCATGGATTTGTTCTTCTTTTTTGCTTTTTACTTTAACATAGATTCTTGTTGGAATGTCTTCGCTCAGTTCACTCCAGCTTGTTAGGATGCTGACATGTAAACCTGACAAGACAAAAGGTAAGAGACAGGATAAAATGAGAAATGGAACACACAAGAATTTATGTGGTTCACTCAATTGGGTTACGTCCACAGACAAGTCTTTAACATAGATTCTTGTTGGAATGTCTTCGCTCAGTTCACTCCAGCTTGTTAGGATGCTGACATGTAAACCTGACAAGACAAAAGGTAAGAGACAGGATAAAATGAGAAATGGAACACACAAGAATTTATGTGGTTCACTCAATTGGGTTACGTCCACAGACAAGTATAGAAGGATTTCATTAAGTAATGTGGGAAATACAACCTCTCTCGAATAATAGGAGAACAACTAAGAATCTCTCTATTATTAGGAGAAAACACCTCACTTACTCTATCACAAATACCTCACAATTGTGGGATTACTCTCTCTTCACTCTCTTCTTCTTCTCTCTATTTCTCAAATCCCATTAATTATGCCACCTAATTACATGACTTTACACAGTTAAGCTAGTCTATTAGGTTTCTTGCCTGATTCAGGTTTTACCGATCACGGGGCTTCAATTTCTTGGCCTTGGTGGGTAAGCAAGAGAGCAGAGTTCCTCTTTTCTGAATAAATTTTACCTGTAGAATATGTATCTTATTTAGTCAAGATTTTATAGGATCTCCATCCATGATAAAGTGCTTCTCAAAAAAAAAAAAAGGAAAGAAAGTGAGAAAGTGCATCTGCCCTAGTTGTTATGTCCACGGGGTTCAAATATTTTTATTTTTTATTAAAATATATATATATATATAATGCATTTTTGTCACTAAAAAAGTTTGTAAGTGCATATCATAAAATTTATATATATATTTAATGAAATGAATCAAGAATTATATGTATTAATAAATAAAAATACTAATGCTAACTAAAAGTAAAATTTAAAAAATAAAAAACAGATATGGTTTAAGATATTTAATGTTGCAAGACGGGATATTTACTTGATTGTATTTGCTAAATCTTATTAATTAAAATTATTTTTTTATCTAATTAAACAATAATAGAAATAGACATACACATTGATTTACTTGAATAAAATAAAATAAAAAATATTATACAAGGTTGCATATATTAAAAATATTATCTAAAAATAATTTTTTATATTAAAAAATAAAGCTAATCTATACAAAAAGATTAAAAAAATATAGATGAATAAAAAAAACCTCTTCAAAATTTAAATGCACAATCAACAAAATAATTGTCATTTAAAAAAATATCTCTAAACAAAATCAAAAGGAGAGGATAATTGATATTATGGAAAAAACATAAAAAATTTATATTAATTTCAAAAAATTATAAAAAAAAAGTTAAATGCTACTAAATATGGCAAGCCAGACTAGCCCGCATGGCTCATTTCATTAGGGCTCATGTGTTTAGATTATTATTATTATTTTTTTGCATCACATCATTTATCTCAAATATTTTTGTTAAAAAAAAAATCAAGAGACATGTCTGACAATTATGATTGCTGAAAAATTATGACTTAAGATTTTTTAACTTAAAAACCTGTTTTTAAATCAATTTTAACCCAAAACATATAGAAAACATCTTAGAAACTATGATAAATTTATTTGTGACATAAAAAACAAACAAATCATCCTAAAAATTCAAATTAACCTGAAACAAAAAATTTACACAAGCTCAATTTTTTTTTCAACAAACTTTAAATGTAAAAAAATACTTAATATTAATTAGCTTTATCAAATGGAACCATTTTACACAAATATTAATTATTTTAATGCCTAAATCATTGTTAATAAAATTTCTTTCTACCACTGAAATCTAATGACCTCTTTCTCTTGAACCAAAACCTAAAAAATAACTAAAATAAATTTTTATATCAAAATTAAATTAAAAAAAATCAAGGTGAATATGTATAATTCTTAAAGTATGAGGATTGAATTATACTTTTTGCATGAATTTTAAAATCATTACTCATTTATGGTGTATTTTCTACTTTGATCCTCTGTCTTTTAATTTTATTTATAATTGACAAATTCAACTCAATTGCCCTTGATTTTGGCCTAGAAAGGATGCAATCACATAAAAAAAAATAAGAACAAAATAAAAAAAAAATTATGAATTATAAATCCATAGTAAAATGTATAATGATACACATTGTTAGCAGCTATAATGAAAAATCCATGCATTTTAATTTTATATTTAATTCAAGATAGAGAGTATTTGAGAACACGGTTTTGGATCATATTTTTTTGTTTTAAAAATATTTTTAGCTTTAAGTTATTTTTTTTTGTATTTTTATAGATTATTTTGACTTTCTAATATCAAAAATTAATTTTAAAAAAATAAAAAATTATATTTCTAAAAAAAATACATTTAAAAAAATATTTTTTACCACCCTACCAAATAATACATTTTAAAAAATATTTTTTACCACCCTACCAAATAACCAATCAATGGGAGACTCAAGTTTTTTTAGGTCAATTGTTTCTCCCTTGCCGTTTTCAGATCCGGGGATTTATCATACCTTCTACCCTACAAGTGTTCATTCATGATAGAACAGGAGAAAGAATGCAAGGACATTTTTTCCCACCCACCCTATATCTGTAATTACATGGAACCATGGAATTATGACCACAACGATATTGACAGCCTATCTTCAAATTCCAAGCAGGAGTAGTCGGTTTTACTCGATGCATTAACATTTACCGCCAGAATCTTTTGATTGGCAACTTCTAAACATAAACTGCAAAATTATGAATGGTAGACATGAGTTGTTCGCAGCAAAATTCTAAAAGGAGAGATTCCGATTTCCCACCCACCCTTTTTGTTTTCGAAAATTCTCAGCCTTCACATTACCGTGATGGCACATGCTTGAAACAATGAATGATGGATAATGATATGCTTCATCAAACTCGCCACCCAGGATAACTACCAAAAAATGAACGAGTCTGATAAAAAATTGAGCAATACCTTGGTCAATTGAAATCTCATTCGTAAAATGTATAGATAGAAGCAGCCAATCGGCCAAAAACTACTTGTCTGCAGACCACCTCTGCTGACTAGAAACAAATTAAGGGCCAATTATTGGACACTCATCCAACATGCAAAACTTAATCATAAAATCGCCAAATCTTCAATGAGACTCCACAATTTTTCTCTGAACTATAAGATCTCTCCCATGTTCATCGCAGGCATTGAATTCATTCCATTTCTTTTACCTTCAAATCACCTCATACCTTCTGCAGCACCTACACATACAACACATGAATGCAGAAGAGGTAGTCAATCTCATGAGTAAAGCAACACATACATGTTTGGGCTCAATTTTTTATCAACATCAATGTAAAGGGAAGGCTGAATAAACTAACGGAAGAAAGTGGGTGCATGTATACACACAACACAACAAACAACACTTTTGGTAAATATCATGGTCTTTAATCTGATTGCAACTAAATTTGGCTATGATATATGGGTTTCGAGTTGTAACATAAAAGACCATATAATGACAAGCTAACTTCAGTTGATTAAGCAGCACGTGCCCATCATTTTTTGATTGTCACATAGTTACATGATCAAAACATAGCAAATGTGAACAATGATCAGATAGAAAGATGCATGTGCTGTTCAGATGAAATAATCGATGCTATAACATTTCAGAGTTTGCTCTCAAGTTATGATTCTATCTTCATCAGAATTTACATGAAGATCACACAATTACAAGGGGAAAAGGGTTCCTCTTGAACTTGACTTATCTCTTCACGGATGAGAAGTATCTCACCAGGACACAGATAATTGAGATACAGAAGTGAGAATCTGTATCCTGTAATGCAACATGGTCTCGATCATCAAACTTCAAAAAGAATTCAAGAGGCTAAAATAAAATAGAAAAAGATCCCACAATAAACAGAATCAGATGTCATTGTCAAATCATCAATCTGAGTACATTAAACAAGTTATAGACCAAGAGCTCAAGATCGAAGGAGACGTGTAGAGAATTAGCAGAGTTGTTTTCTTTAAAATTCGACAAAAGGAGTCCCCAAAATAAACCCTTAAAGAGTACTTAAACATGCAAATTTATCAGAAACAACCAGCAACAACAATAAACCTTTGCCACTTTTATTACAGTATCTATTAACTGATCACTTTTTACCATATGTTCAGGAGAACCTACAGCATGACCTAGAGCCAAGACACATCACCATTATGAAAAGGAAATAGTAGATTCTACCGTTCTTAAGGTGGAAAAACTGGGTAACAATAACTTACATGAGTTGTAGCAGCATAGCTGTTGTTAAAGAAAGACCACCACAGCACTGCTGAGCTGAAAAAGATATTTCGATTGAAATTCCCATTTTGAGAATCCCCTCGTAGAAACACAGTATAATTTTTCCATCTGATACCAGATCCAAACCTTTTTCATTGAGATCTTGCACAACACATGATGTGCAGTTTTTGAGAAGAAATCCTTTCAGAACAATGTTATAACATCTTAATCAATGGACTCTGTAAGAGTGGAATATCAGGAGTCAATGTTTTGCATCATGGATCCTTCTCTCTTACAATGGCCATTGATCAGGATGTTATGACTATGAAGGTCAGATGCGTAACCTTGGCTGACCATTGTATTTTAAATAACTTTTAACCTCATCCACTTGCCTTTGCAAAACAATATCCTTCCACATGTCTTTGCAAATAATATCCATCCAAGCATTATAATTGTAAATATCCAACATTTATTATGGCATCAGCAATTAGATTTTTCATACAAGGCAGTTAAATGCCAAGTTTGAACACCAAAACAGAAAAAGGCAAAATCAAGTTTCAGAGACAGTTAATAGAGATGTTTAAAATATAAACATCATATGCCATTCCTCACAATAAATCTAGTGCTAGGCGCAGGAGCATTGCAAGTTAGGGTATGAGAATTTGGAACTGGAAGATTGAACCGTAAAAATAAAAACAGGAAAGTTAGCAATACCCGATTGTTGTTGAAGATGAAAAGCGGCCGCAGAAGCCCTAAAAAGGCTTTCAGCCAGATCATCTCATCTACAAAGGTCTCTCTCATTGTTTCTCTCCAGATCATTGCAATCTGCTCCATCTTGGGTATATCGTTTTTAAACAGGAAAAAGATGCCCTCTCCATGGCCCCCATGAGTTCATGAGGAATCAAAACCCTAGAAGGCCCAAAATTGCTCTCAACTCTCAAGTTCACCAGCGTCCCAGATCAAACATGTTTTTGTTTTACATATCAGTACCAGGGCTATATGTTATTTCACGTAGGTCCCAGAATCTAAAACTGGACAATTACCTTCTCTGCTAAAAGATCTGGGGTTTGTGATGGTGCTTCACTACCTCCTAGATCATACAGGTGTCTTTTTATTTAATCCCCAAGATGAAACAGTGATCTTTTGTTTTAATCCCCCAGATCAGGCAATAAACCCGACAATATATCAAACTCAAAATCGAAACTACTTATTAATAACGCATGAAACGAATTAAAACTTAATTAACCAAATCACCAAATAAGAAAAACCCAAAAATCAAACTAAACTAAAATCCCCGGATCTAGAAAGTGTCTTTTGTTTTAATCGCCAGATCAAGCAATAATCCCAACAATTTATCAAACTCAAAATCAAGACTACTTACTAATAAAAGCATGAAACAAATTAAAACCTAATTAATCAAATCATCAAACAAGAAAAAACCATGAATCAAATTAGATTGAAAGAAAATGCAAAATAAATAAATATTACCTCATACCCACATCCTATTATCTCATTTACTCAAGAATTCCCATAGATTCAATCATTTGACAGACACCATTGACAAAATTCAAAGAGTCCAAAAGACTGACACTATCAAAACACACACCCAGCCAATAAGCTTAAAAAAAAAAATCATAATTGCACGGCTAATAACAAAGTGGGTGTTATTGCAAATCCATTAGAGGAGCTTATATATCTTCTCCGAACTTCAAAAAAGAGAGAGAGAGAGAGATAGAAGATGGAAGATTTCGATCTACTGGGTCTCTCTCTCAAAAACTAAAAGATAAAAAGAAAAGAATGAGGGAAAGATCGTGTTTTTATTTATGCTGAGGAGGGAAATGTAAGAGAAGGGGATGGCGTTATCATCGCTTCTCTCTCTCCAGCTAAACTCTTATAACTGTTTTTTTAAAAAAAGGGCTGATGATGTGTCATTCCCGCCTTGAAAAACAAAGTCTGCACAAATGCGCCCACCCTTCTTCTAAGGGCAGGTACTGGTAATTTCTGTAATTTTTTAAAATATTTTTATTTAAAATTATATTAATTTAATATCAACGAATGAAAATAATATAAAAATATTAAATTATTAATTTTAAATAAAAAATAAAAAATTAAATTTTTAATTAAAATATAAAAACAAATAAATCTTAGAAAATATTTTAAGTGACATACTTGGACATTTGCTCTTCAATTTTTACATATTGGATGGTAATATGATAAAATTTTATTAGAATGCTAATTTTTTTAATAATAATAATTAATTGATGATGAATACTCATTTAAATTCAATTTTTTTATTTTTAAAATATATTTTTATTATTTGTTTAGCTTTTAATTACATAATAAAATCAAGAAATATCTTTTTTTATTTATTTTAAGCAATGATTAGAGTACAAAAAAATACTTTCACTATGAGGGGCAGAGGCATGGTAAAATTTTAGGTATGCTATGGCTCCTGTTAAGATTTTATTAATATTTTTTTTATTATTTTTATATAAAAATAAATTTATAATTTTTATTTAAGTTATCAAAAAAATTAAAACTTTATATGGAGCTTTCTAATATAATGCTTTAGCTTGGGTTAAAATTTCAGATTTTTTTAAGAAATCCAGAAACTTGATAAAAAATCACAATTAGACAAGTTTTACGTTATTTAACATAATTTTTAATATGATCATTAGATTGAGCTGAAATTTTACGAGAGATTTTAAAATATATCAAACAAAATCTGGTTAATATTTTAGGATGAATGGAGTTTGATAGTGCTGACGAAAAAATACCGTCAAATAAAAGCAAAATGACTCATTAAGAAAAAAAATACCGTCAAATAAAAGCAAAACGACTCATTAAGAGTAAAATGATTATTTGCCATTAAAAAATAAAATAAATCAACTCTTTTTTCTTTTTATATGTTATCGACTGAGTAGAAGTAAAATAGAAAAAGAAGGAAAAGAGAAGGCAAGAGAAAAAGAGAGAAAAATAAGGAAAAAATATAAAAAAGATTCAAGGAAAAAAATAAGCGAAGTAGGAGGATAATCTTGTAAATTTACAGAATTCAACTTATAAAATACTAATCTAAGAAAGTATCAAGTGAAGGAAGGAAAAATTAAAATGAAAATTTAATTATTTTGTTTTTCAGTTGACATGGGATTGTTATTTTATCTCGGTCGAGGGTTATTATAATATCAATTTAAATTTAATTATAAATAAATTATATTTCACAAAACATCAAATGATGTAATTTTAATAGTGAATTTATTTTTATTTTTACTTTAATTTTATATACTTTTAAATTTATTTTTTAATATGCCGAGTAATGTATTTGAATTAAAACATTACTATTAATTTTAAAAAATCATATATATAAATTAATAATTAATCTTAAAACAACTATATTTTTATTTAATAGCGTAGAACATGAAAAATTTATGAGTCCGCCCTTGTTCACTAATATAATCAAATGCTTTCACTTATTTTAAATCCCTTGATTTTTAATAAGTTTTTCTTTTAATCATTGCTGTTTTTTATTAGGAAATTCGGTTTCTAATGAATAAATAAAAACCATGCTGTTATTTTTAAAAAGATTTCAATTTTTTTTTTATGACGAGGCCTCTAACCAACACCCACTCCTATGCAGGAGATGGCACAATGACATGACTGCTCCATCATGTGGGATGAAGAAGGAAGTAATGATTATGGTAGAAAAGACTCCTTGGAGCAATTCTTTGACTCAGGAAATGGGAGAAAGATCACGCCCCTGACAGCTTTGAGAGAACCACCTCTCATGATGAAGGGGAGAGTGAAACCTAGCACGACACGACTCCGAGAACCCTGGACATAAAGCCGGCAAGAGTGAGACCTCGGATGTATTTCCCTCCTGCACTTCCCATTTTTTCTAGGTTTTATATATTGTTTAAGTTTATTTGATTTGAAAAAATATTAAATGGATAGTTTTTAATATTTTTTTATAATTTTTATTCTTTTATATCATTTAAAAAAATTATTTAAACATATTTTTAAATAAAAAATATCTTTAAAAATTTTCCCGTATCACAATACCAAATATAAACTAAATTTATCTAATCATGAGCATGAAGTCACTTATACATGTTCAAGAAACTCTAGTTAGAGATAATTTAATATCGCTTGTGTTTTTTGTCTAGCCACAAAGAACAATTATTTGGTTAGCTGAATAGAATGTGATTTGCATTAAATCCCCTACATAGATTAATCTATAATGTTGTGATAAAGATAATTTTTAAAAATATTTTTTACTTGTCAATATACAAAAAATAATTTTTTTATTTTTTAAATTTTAATTTTAATATCTGCAAATCAAGATGGAAAAATAAAAAATATTAATTTCAAAATTTCTGTAAATTGTGACTGGGCCATGGTGCAATAATTGCATTTCAAAATTTTATTTTATAAAATCTAAAATAATATAATTTTTATTTATTTTGCATTAAAAAAACTTATTTTAAAAAAATTATAATTTAAAATATTTTTTTAACGACTGCCACAATCATTATCACAATGCAGAAACATACAGCTGGACATTTTAGATTCAGATTTCCAATGCAAAACAAGCATGTTTTTTTTTTAAATAATTTTTATGTTGGAATTTATATTAATAATATTTTTTTAAAATTATTTTTAACATCAAAACAATTCAAAATATACCAAATATATTAAATTTTAATAATTTTTTTTAAAAAAAAAACCACATCCTACACTGTCCCAATTGACAATTGACAAATTGCGTTGTCCCAAAGTAGCGGAGGGGAACAGTCTCTACAAATAAAGTTACGAAACCACTGGGAATAATTTCATGCCAGTTCTTGTGAGACAAGCTCAAGATTATCGCCACTAATATTATTTTGACGATCAAATGCAATCGAGAAATGGACACTAGAAGGAATGAATTGAAGGAAAGATGGATGCGTGAAATCATCATTCATTTTTTCAATTTTTTCCACCAAATTAATTTTTTTATATATAAATCTGATGTTTAATTCACTGACAAAATTCTCGCAGGAGCCTCGTATACACGATAACATGCATCGTGCAAATAAAAGTGAATCCTAATAAACAAGTCTAAGCAGACATCGAGTGCAAGAATGTAATTGTAAATAAATAAAGTTTGAGGACCGAAAAAATCACCGTGGAATGAATGGCGTCCGGTTTTAAGAGATGGGATCCAATAAAAGTAGGTTCTGTTCTAGTGTTTTCATTTTTTAAAAATGTAATTGTAATGTAATGGGCATACTTTTAACCGACTTTCCTGACCAAATAACAGGATTAATGGTCATATAAACTCCATTCCTTCCCTGTGTACGCCTCGTAACCAAAACTGGCAATTTTCCCCAAAGTAAAACTTCACCAAAAAAATGCATGTCTACTCGGCATTTGACATGGAGCTGGGCAGGGGTTAGAATCAAAGACGCGTATTTCAAGCCTGTAGGAAAATAATATATGCTGCTGCTGCTGCTGCTAACCTGGGTAATGAAGTTTCATTTGCTGGATACTCAAGTCAAGTCACATCGACTTAGAAATTCAATTATGCAAGGATAGACTTGCTCCACCGCCTGTGAGGAGAAAAGGGCACGTTACAACACAGTACTGAAGATAAATTACCAAACAAGATATTAACCATTACTGCATTTATGAACCGCTTACCTTTCTCCCCCCCACTAAATCATAATGTGCATAATGAGGACCTCCAGGTTCTCCAAACACCTTGTAGGATGCCAAATGCTCGGGGATGAGCCTAACAGTTTCTGATGCATTCAAATCATCATGAGAAAGAAGCAAAACATTGGCATCTAATGAAGACGGATACACAAATTATTCTAGTCTCCACACCTTCAACAGCTTCAGGTGGGCATATCAGATCTTGGTCCCCTGCTATGGCTAATACAGGTACATTGCTCTTATGTAGATGATCCTTGTAGAAAAATTTACCGCTCCTGTCACACAATCCACGATTCTGAAAAGCTGTAGTGAGCTGTAATATAAGTTTGGCAGGTATGGTACCTGCCAGAAATAATCAAAACATTTGTTAACAAAAGAGGACGATAAAGATGATGAAAAGGGGGAAATGAGTTAAGAACAGAGTAAGGACTTAAGATGCTCAAACAAGAGTTTCAATTTAGCAATGGAGAGTCCTCCATCCCATCCTCAAGTGTGTGTAGCGAGGGGAGACAGTCTCCACAATTAAAGTTATGAAACCACTGGGAATAACTTCATGTTAGTTCTTGTGAGACAAGCTCAAGATTATCTCCAGTATGAACAGGGATATTATTTTGACAATCAAATGCAATCGAGAAATGGACAAGAGAAGGAATGAATCAAAGGAAAGATACTGTTAACTTTAATCTTTCCTTAAAACCCTGCATTGGTCTCATTTACTTGAACAGATGTTTTCACAGATGAACAAATCACTCCTGCTAACTCTCTCATCTCCCATTGTGTTACACTCACCAGTCACCATCGACACCATAAACTTTTGCATTTATCCAGGCTTGAGATCAGTTGTGCAATTATGGGACATTTCAACATGGCATAGAGTCGGGATTGCATCTATGTCCTGTATGTGTAACATATAAATTTAATTTTCTCAGGTCCATATTCCTGATGCATTTATGCGCTGTCATTATCATCAATGTACAGTGTCAATGGAAATATTTCTTGATTTCTAACAATTCCATGCTAATTCAGCAGTTGCTGTTCTGTCTGTCCCCCGTCTATTACATTAGAGAGGGCATGTCATCACCTCATGTGACATAAAGATGCGGCATAAATCCCAATTGATTAAAAAATCTAAACAGATCAAATATATGCACACAGGT